TATCAGAAGATCTGCTAGAACTTCTGGATCTGGAGACAAGGACTCCAATAACACTCTCAATACATCATTTTTTTTTTCATTTTCCATTAGTTTTCGCCAATTCTGAGCTTCTAATTGGAAACAACCTAAATCACCATAAAATCACGAAAAAAATAAATAAATAATGGAAAAAACAGTTGTGTTGTCGTGCCAAATAACTGCGTTTTTTTTTCAACACTGAGGTCTCCAACAATTCGGTGCATCAGAGGGTGACGTTACTTGCATCAATGATGAAAATTTGGTGTTAAACATTTCACACCTTGAATTCTCAGTAGCAGAGGATTGATGGATATGATCAATTTTCAGATTATATTTTTCATCTGAATTACATCCCTATCTGAATTACAATTGGTCATAACATATTCAACATGAAATAGTCACCCTAGCCCATTTGAAAATTAGTGATATTCCCGTAGTAGTTGAAATAAAAGGAATATTATGCACCATAATTAAAAGGTATTGTAATTATTGATTATTTTTGCATAATATCCTACTTCCAAACTACTAGGTAATTGTACCTGCTAAGCACCGCTAAGTGTACCTGTCGATACAACATGATGATACCAAGTTGATAACCGTACTGATGACTAGTTCTTACTCTTATTGCAGCATTTTAAATGAATTCGTCCTGTTGTCCTGTCCTGATGTTGAATTTTCATGACAAACACAATGCTTTGGAGATGTTTTCATGAAAACGAAGAATTTTTGTTGAATTAATGAGTTGAAGCCAATTTTCGAAAATTTACATTTTCGAAAAACACCTTGTGACACATAACGAATAGGAATAGAGCTTTCCCTTCAAAAGTGTTGAATTTGGCCCACCCTGTACAGTGTCATTCATAAAGTCGGCATCATATGGCGAAAACTTTCAATAATAATTAATTTCGAAATTCGACTTGGGCGTTAAGATGAAAAATGGACTACTCGGTCGAGGTCACGTGACATTGGCTACATGTCAAAAGTTACATTTTTTCAATTAAATCGCTGAAAATAGGCTTATTCTTTTGTATTTGAAAAAACTTTGCTGGGAGAACTTGTTTCTATTCCAATTTTACATATTTTCCCAGGTAGCAGAGTGACGTCCAATTGACGTCATTTTTTGGTCATAAAATGACGAAGTGGACGTCCAAAAATGACGTCTGAGAGACCCTATAATGACGTCAAAATGTCACAGCCATATGACGTCATACTTAGACGTCATAATGACGTCGCAGAATGACCAATAAAGGACGAAATAAAAAAAATTAGGAGGTTTATATATATACGGTATTATTGGTACATGATAATACACCACAAACCTTTGATGACAAGCAGGTCGATTTTATTTCCGATTTGCCACATTTGAAAGTAAGAATCATATATATACAGGGTGATCCACGTTTGAGTTAAGACGTTTGCGGCACTTTTTTCAATTGGAAACAATAATAATAACCTATATAAGATACATTCAATTTTTGAAATATTCATGGAAATCTGAATTTAAAAATATATTACACATAGGGTTTGTATACAGTGTGTCCGTTAAATTGAGTCATCTCGCGTGAAGAAAATAAAGTATAGCCATGCAATCAATGTACTATTATAACCATACAATTCCTTGCTGAGGAATCTCCCAAAATAGGTCGATTTTCATTTTAAATTACCAACAATATTGAGAAAAAATTGAATATACAGGGTGATTCAAGTTTGAGTTATAAACGTCCACGACCATTTTTTCAAAGGAACACCCTATAAATTATTCGATTTTTGGAGTCTCTATTTAAAGCTGGATTCAAAAATATATGAGTCTGTATACAGTGCGTTCGTTGAATTAAGTTCTTTTGCGAAGTTGCGAATAAATTTGTTGAAGCCATAGAATTTTATTCTCATTCAAGCTTTATCTCATATTAAATCGATATATACAGAATGATTCGTGTAGGAGAAATTACGTGATCTATATATTTTAATGACGATCCAATTTTACGAGAGAACTGAATTTAACGAACGCCCTGTATACAAACCCTTTGTGCGATATACATTTGATTACGAAAATTCAATAATATATATCCGTTTGAAAAATGTGTCGTGTACGTCATAATACAAACGTGTATCATCCTGTATATTTGATGATTCCTCCGTATAAATGACGAATTAGAAATAAAAGCCTCTCCTGTTTTCTCAGAAATATATAAGATAGATAGATATTGGATAATAATGAATTTATCCACTACTTCACGAGAGCATCTAATTTATTGGACGCACTTACCTATACAATCCACATGATTGTGTTAAACATTTTCGAATTCCGCTTCCCATGGTTATTCCAAAGATTGAGTAATATATATATATATAAGGTGCTCTATTCAAAAAAATTGTCGTTATGGTCATAACTCAAACGTGGATCATCATGTATGTATATTCAATTTTTCTCATAAATATAAGGCAAATTGAAAATGAAAATCCACCGTTTTCAGCAGATTCCTCAAAAATGCATAATTTGGCTGAAAATAAATTTGTTCATCAGGACTCACGAAAACACTCTATATACAAACACAAATTTAGTACGTACAATTAACAAACGATGAAAAAGTAAGAAAGCGACTGATTTTTCTTATTTGGTCGAATATACGACTTTGTAGGGACGTCATTAAGACGTCCAATATTGAACGTCAATAAGACGTCATGAAATATGACGTCATTTTTAGGTCCCTCTGAAGTCGAGGACGTCATTGACCAATAATGACCTAAAAAAGACGTCATTATGACGTCATTCCACTAACCTGTGCTACCTGGGTTGTGTGTCTCAAATTTGAACTTTTTATTAAAACTTTTAGTTTTTGATATTTCTTCGATTTCTACGAAATGTCTGTGATATAAAAAAAATTAACACCGACAAAATTATTTTATTTTAGTATCTTTATCATGCTACCAACGTTCCATCACTAATTATCGACAGAAATATGATTTTCATCAGAAAATAATAATTTCTGTTTGATGCAAAGTTGATGTATCGTCTATCCTTCAGAAGTTATAATTACAAGGAATCGAAAAATATCAAGAACTAAAAAACCGTTCAAAATCGAGACATATGTGTAAAATTGGCATGGAAACAACTTTTCTCAGTAAACTTTCCAGAAAATCGTACAAATAACCCCATTTTCAGCGATTAATTTGAAAACAAAAACTTTTGACATGTAGCCAATGTCACGTGACTACGACCGAGTAGACCATTTTCCATCTGTCCTAAAGCGAAACTTGACGCCCAAGTAGAAAGTAGAATTTCAAAATACATCATCATTGAAAGTTTTTTTCCATATGATGCCAACTTTATGAATGACACTGTATATTTCGTGAGTGCGCTATAATAATAATAATAATAATAATAAATAAATTTTATTTCAAGGAATACTACAATATATAAACGTGATCACATAAAGTAGGATTAAATGAAACAATAGTCAACAAAAGAATATGATATTCACTTGTAAATTCTACAAATATTTCCGAGATTATTTGATTCGAAAGTTCATGAACTCTGTCTCATCATATGGTTCGATGTTAACCAATAATTCAAAAATTGTTTTCTTGAATTTTGCTAATGATTTTATCGATTTGATGTCTCTAGAGAGTTTGTCTAGAATCAAATACAAGAGTATAATGCACTGGACTCAGTTAATCGCAATCTGTGTGCTGGATATGTGTAGTTAGAGTGTCTGGTATCATGTTCTGTCTGAGATTCCATATTTGTAAATAATCGTTTATTTTTGAAAATGAATAATAGGCATTCTTGAATGAACATTGCATAAAAGGTGAGTAGTTTATTTTTTCTGAATAAACCTCTGCATGAATCTCCAGGTTTCAAGTTCCAGAGAATTCTGAGAATTCTTTTCTGGATTATGAAGATCGTGTTTGCGGCCCTGCTACTTCCATATAATATGATACCATACCTCATGATTGACTCTACGTTTGCATGGTAAACCATCTTAAGTGTATGGTACTTGACATATTTAGCAATAATTCTTATACTATAAACAGACGAGTTCAATTTTCCACTGATATTATTGATGTGGTTCTGACATGCTCACATTTTGATTATCAATTTCAATATGTGTTGGAATATCAGATCTGGGATGATTGGTTGTGAGAAACAAAAAATCAGTTTTGCTTATATTCAGAATTTGTTTGTTCATTGCAAACCACTCATTTGTTACTTTGAGAATATAATTAACATTAATTACCAAATCCGGAAACAGTTCACCACGGACCAATAAGTTTAATATAGATACAGAAATACAGTAAGATCGGGTGACCGGAGAATGAGAGGATACTCAGTCGGCACCTAACAGTCGCAGAGGTTGCTCGACGAATCCGCAATTATTTGTCCGAAGCCGAGACAAAGTGGTGGAAATTCACTAAAAAGTGTTTCAGCAAGGTGGATTGAGTAGCCCGCTCATTGAGTATCTACCAAACCGAAATGTGGGGAAGTTAAGGACCATGATTGGGAGGGAGTACTCTATTGTTTTTCCTCACAGGAAATCTGTTTCCTCATATTTCATTCCACAAGTCGAATTGGAGAAAGTAATAGAAGTGCACAGCCATTTTTATACTTCTTATGGCAGGAACTGGTGGAGTGTTCCTGCCCACAATGTAATGTTTTCTTCTTACTCGCTTATTAAATAGAGGTAAATATACACTCAGTGGAAAAACACTCCACCAGTTCCTGCCAATGGAATTCGCTATTAGTTTTTTAATGATATTAGGAATCATTTGTGCTTGGAATAGGATCTGTAATGTGTAGATCAGAATTTATTCTGTCAAATTATCAATTAGGTGCCCTATAATAATTCAACCTGCCTGAGAAAAATACAGTCTGGTGCAGAGTGCTGCTCGTTGTCAAAATGTCACCCTGAATAGCTTTGAGTGTACACAGCTAACAACTCTTCACTACACCATAGTTACCGAAGTAATTCATTGGTTTGCAGCTTCCGTCCTGTTGATATATTGCAACGAAGAAGACGCTTTCTGGCTGCTGGCGACCCTTTGCGGAAATTTACTGCCCGACTATTATAATACCAGGGTCGTAGGGGCTGTTGTTGATCAGGGTATCCTAGACGAGCTCACCTTCGAATATTTACCTAATCTACATGATAAGCTCAACCAATTAGGTGAGTCAACTTCAGTAATAACAAATGTTTTTCCACCACTAGCTATAAAACCTACCATGCTTTTTGAGGCGTAAAGTGTGTTTTTACTACCAAGTTAGTTTTCGTCATTCTATAACCACTAGTCAATACAGACATCTATGTTATAATTAACCCAAATTCACTATTCTGATCCGAGATTCGCAGGAATGGCACTCGAATCTAGTAGGTAGTATCATTAACTACTTGTCATATATGCTGTATTGGTCATGGCTACTAGATTCCAATTAGAATTGAAAAGAAGTAATTACATAGTGACAATAGGTCTATATTTCAGTTTCCTAGAACTAACTATTGGGAAATATGCTAAGGGCGCATTGCTTGGACCAAAAAAATGGCGATAGGACCGAATATCCCTCAATAAAATATTGCTGAGGAAAAAGATACAGGGCGTTGAAGTTGAATATTTGTTCTCGTTTTTTGCATATAATTTCACTGTATATTGTTTACAAAATCGGCACAGGGGCATAATTTCATACGGGAAATATGATTTTATATATTTTTCTACAGTTTGTTACAGGGGGCGCCACGTGAATGATTCCTGATGATAAAATCGACTGATAACTTTTTTTGACGAAACTTTTTATTGATTTTGATTAGAAAATACAACATGAACATCATTTCTACGTGGTATTGGTACTCTTGTTTAAAAACGATAAAAAATAAATAAATGAAGAATGTGCTTTGGATAGTCAGATAATTGTTGCCTATCCCCCAATAGTTATAACTCACCCTGTATACCTTGATAGTGAAGAATATTACCACGGCACATTATACCCCTAGGCTGAAGCCTCAGGATATAATCTTGGTCTCTGGGTAATAAAGATATTCTTCACCACCTTAGTGTATGAATACCTATTTTTCACCCCTAGCACTAAGACCTTCCGTTACCTATAGTCCTTTTCAAGTCGTAAATTTGTGTTTCACTACAAAGATTTTTTTTTCATTTCGTTAACTATAGTATTTTCTAATTAATAAGACAGCATTGAATAAAACATTGCTAGTAAAAGAGATACTGGGTGTCGAAGTTGGAATTCATCTTTCCACTATTTTATGCGAATTATCTTTGCTGCCGATTTCTCAATATTGTTCATTTTCATACAGATTTTTATTATGAACCAGATTTGGACCAATAAAAAATCATCATCATGAAATAAATGTTCGGCCTATAGAAACAAATACTTAGGTACATAGTTAAGTAAATGAACCCATTCATTTTGTAGAGGACATTAAAGAGGACAGTTCTTTGGGACTGAGTATATGTTCGGAGTCGATAGGAAGTAAAAATTCCAGAAGTCCCCAAACTTACATGGTGAGCCAAGTGCAGGGGGCGACGTAGAAGGTCTCTTTTTGATTTATCGTTCATACAGGGTGTATCAAAAAAACCTAACCCATGGTGAGCCAAGTGCATGGGGCGACGTAGAAGGCCTCTTTTTGATTTATCGTTTATACAGGGTGTATCAGAAAAACCTAACCCCTTTGCTAGGGTAGGTAGAACATTGCAAAATTAGTTGGGTTTGCTCAGTGAAAAAATGTCGTAACGCCATCCGTTTTCAAGGTGTTGATTAGTTTTTTTTTTCGTATCTGGAGCGCAAAAGGCTACTTTGGTGATTGAGATCTGAGTTTTTCAACGAGATGACTAAAGTATTTCGCGCTCGAGTTGCAAACAAAATTTTCTCTACAAACGTCAAAAGAGATTTTTTTTTATCGCTTGGAGCGCACGAGAGGGAACCGCTATAATGTTCTAAAGTAAAAATATGCTAAGCTTGATATGAAAAATAGTGTTGAACTGGCTTGAAAAGCCTTCCGCTATCCTTCCTTGGTACGCACGATGTTCCACGAACATAATAGGAATTTCCTTTCGTGTACTCCAAGAGATAAAACAAAGTTATTGTTGGACATTCAGAAATAAATGATTTCATGGATGTTTGCTCGATTGAGGACCACAAAGTTGAAATATAAATATCTTATATATTTTACATAACAATGCGCGACGTAGGTGCTCACTGTTTCACTTCGCGCATTGTTTTGTGCAAGGTATCATGGTAACGTAGGAAACTGGAGAAAAGTGTCACTTCGCAATTTATCATCAATGCGCTAACCTTGTCATTTATTGACGTTTGTAGAAAAAAATATTTTTTTACACATTTCTTGCGATTATGTCGAAACCACTGGCAACATTGAGATGAAATTTTGTATGGATGTGTTCTGAAAGCTGACACACCGCATGAATTAGTTTTTATATCTGACACTCATAGAGGGCGCTAGTTACACGGTACGTTCCGAGTACTTTTGAACATAACATTTTCGAGGTTGGATTTTTCAGTCCAAATTCAATGTGAACTTGAACACTATTCAATTTTACACGAAAATGATGCTCTTGGTGAAACTCGATACTGTGTACCGTTTTCGGAATATTTTGATTTGAAAATTCTGCAGCAATAACTCTGATTCTGGTATTATAATAAGTATTATAAAAAACAATTATTTTCTATTTATTAAGGACCAAAAACATTAACATTATTTTACTGCTGTATTTATTGATTGAACAAAATCACATCAGAAAATATTTAATTAAATTTGACTAAAAACATCATCTAGTTAGAGTAAGTGTCCAAAATGTCCTCCGTTTTCACGAATACACAATTCGATCCTCTTTTCTAAAGAATGCATCAAACTTCTCAACGGTTGAGGATCAGCTATGAGATTATCGAAGTGATGTTCATTTCTTACTTGCAGCTCTTGACGTGGTTATTAATAAATAGGTAGCAGTCTTTTATAATACTCACTTTCAACTAGCGTCAGTGTTATACTTCAGCATTTTCAGATCGAAAGCTCCTTTTTGGTGTGATATTGAATGATGTTCAAGATCTAACCTCAAAAAAGTTATGTTTTAAAGTTCTCGGTGCGAACCGTGTAACCAGCGCCCTCTATGAGTGTCAGATATAAAAACAAATTCATGCGATGTGTCAGCTTTCAAAACACATCCATACAAAATTTTATTACAATGTTGCCAGTAGTTTCAACATAATCGTAAAAAATGTGTGAAAAACATATTTTTTCAACACCTTGTATCTTGAAAACGGATGGCGTTACGACATTTTTTTACAGAGCACACCCAACATATTTTGCAATGTTCTACCTACCCCTACCTACCCTAGGAAGGGGGTTAGGTTTTTTTGAAACACCTGGTATATTAAAAACGGTTAGACATAGCAAGAAAGCCAGTATATTCAAAATTATAGCTGATAAAATTGTCTACAAAATTGTATCAATAGGCTATCTTTCATCATTTTCGAGATATTCGCTAGCGAATCATGTAAATTTTTTGAATATCGTTTTTTTTATCTCAACCTTCAGTTTTTCACCAAAGTCTTCGACGAAGGAGTCGCAAAGGATTCAATCACCTTCAAAATATTATGTCACATATGTATTTCTTCTATCGTAACATAATTTTGGGAAAATTTGGTACCCTCGAAAATGGTGAGTCCTATCGAATCGAAAGAAGAGTATCATGTGCAATTAAAATTGATGATATATTCATATTTCCTGGTCAAACCATCATCTCAGCTCAGGCCCTCTGTCAGATGGCTATAACTCCACAGGGGGCCATTTCTGGACTCATGTTTATATGAACTTTTTTTACTATTTTCGTTTCTAGAATCTGTGGTTGAAATCTTCCTATGTAATTTCGGGACACCCTGTATATACATATATACATATAGTCTCACTTCTGACCACTGTGTCTTTCGTAATTGTTGAGTTAGGATTCTAAAATTTGCAGGAGCGGTCGCTATATCGAGAATACACATATGACCAAGTGGAGTCATCTCCAGTGATATATACTGCTCGCCAACAGCTATGGAACCACCCACGTTTCCGGAAAATGATATTAGGAGAGAAAATAGGTTTGAAAATCACTTCGGAGTCGAAATGAGGACGTCTAATTCACTAACCATTCATAATTTTTCTGAAAAATTTCAAATTCTGAAAAATTTAAATTCACTTGATTCGCTAGCGAATATCTCGATAACTATGAAAGTTCGGGAAAACACCAAGTGATACATTTCTGTAGACAAATTTATCAGCTACAATTTCGGATCGATTGACTTTTTTGCTGTGACGTACCGTTCTTGAGATATGAACGATAAATCAAAAAAAGCGATCTTCTACGGCGCCCTCTGCACTTGGCTCGCCTTGTAAGTTCGGGGACTTTTGGCATTTTTACTCCCTATCTCTTTGTCTCGAACTGTCCTCTGCCATGTCCTCTACACCCCCATATTGGGCATTTATTGTTAATCGTTCTATGTTTGACATTTAATTTCAATTGACATTCAATCAAGGCATCAATAATACAGGTAATTCATGGTATGTAGATTTTGGAATAATATATTGAAATGTAAATAGAAATAATTTTTTATTCCATTATTTACTGGTCTTAAAAAAATGTATGCAACGACCATGTAATTAGCTATCAATATACACGCCAATACATAACAATTTCGAAACTGGGTGTTTTTTGATATGAAAAATCATGATTTGGTACATAAATGAATTTTCTAGAGGGTGCCACATATCCACTTTATTGACATAAATGCGCTCCTAAATTGTTCGTTCAGGTTAGTGCCATTTTGAGAAAGAAATAATAATAACAAATCATTTCAACGAAAATGTTATCCATCCCAAAACTTACGAAATAATCGCATTTTATTAATCACCTTTGATTTTTTCTCATTCAATTAGAAGCATTATCAAGAGCAATATACCAACAGTTCTTCATGAAACCTTGTTCATTTGGCAGAAATATGAAAAACTATTGATAAATTCACCAGTCTTTAGGGCTAGTGATTTTATTTGATTTGGTTTGTTTGAATGCTTTTGCCTCAAATAAAAAAGTGTAGGTGATGAAAATAAAGAATAATTTGATGAAATTCAAAAAACGAGATGTATATGTGCCATCGTCCAAGTACAATTACTCAAGGACCACCCTGTATAACGTTTTACTTCAAAATTCTATGATGAAATATATCAATCATAAATCCATCGAAGCAATAGATCATTGTTATCATCTATGAAAAATCTAGAAAATAAATAGAAGTTGTGTCAATTTTTTTGTGAACTTGTGTGTGTGCCTCAAGTTCCACAAAAATTGATGTGCGCTTTTTCTAGGTATGACAAATATGATCTCCCTCTCGTGGTTCCTCACTATATTTTTATGTGTGATGCCGTACGAAAGCGCCGTCAACATTATGGACTGTTTTTTCTACGATGGCGCCAAAGTGATCTTCCAAGTCGCATTGATGTTGTTGGAATGGAACCAAGAAGATCTTTTGCGCTGCAGAGATGAAGGTAATTCAACTTCTACTACTGCAATAACCATTATTCTACGGCTAACACAAAACTTCTTTTTCTTAACTGTTACATGTTGTTTTTGTTGTTGAATTATCGCATGTTGAAGCCATAGAAAAAGTATGGTGTATAACTCGCACGAAATGCTAATTCATTAGATCATTATTTGACAGCATGTGCGCTCGTGATCCACTGAATTTTGTTCTTCAACTTCCATGATACTACTATTGAGTAGCCACATAGAATATTGAATTATATCTGTTGAACATCCAAAAGGAGAACATGAACATAAAAATCCTCTGGAATTGAGAATTAACATTCTCTTTCAAATCGAATAAATGATATGATATATAATGATATAAAAATAGGACTTACCAATATATTCAAACAATTTAAAACCCTCCATAATCTAAGAAGCTCTGATCATTTGTTTTATGAAGGTGAAGCATGATGATGATATTTTTCATTTTCAGGGGAAGCCATGCAACTTTTAGCAAAATATTTGATGGGCGTTTTCAATGATGAAGGACGAGGTGCAATCAGAAACAAAAGTTATGACGATCAAATAAGGGTGAGGAGTTTAACAACCAACAAAAACAAACTACCTAATGAATACGAGCATGAACTAATAAAAATAAACTGAAAAATTCATGAACATCTGGTAATCCTTTTCAAGTTGTGAATTAGTATTTCATGACCAAGGTAGATTTTTTCATTTCATTTCATCACTTATGAATCATTTATTTTTCTCTAAACCCTCCTCAATGAATATTAACGTCGAATAGGGACAAAATTTTTTTTTACCTAAAATGGAGAATTTCAGACACAATTTTGAGTAATCCTACAAAACTGAGATGACATTTATGAATATTGTTTCAAAATTTCCCCATTGTCATGGCATACTATACTTTTGCAACGCATATTGATTTGGGTAGATAGATGACTGCCTGAAGTACAATTTCAAGAATAGTGCTTTTAAAAAATGTACCGTTTGTAGATGAAATCGTATATACAAAGAAGGGGAGACATTTTTCTGTTACAGGATGTAGAACTCTTCAAAATAGACAATAACTGCCCGTATAAAAATTGCGAAATAATGTAGTACATTCCTGGTATATATTTAAAAAATTTTTCAAAGTTATCATCATTCGTTTGATGTGCGCATAGTCTTGGTCAGAAATGCGGCAGAAATACTATATCTTTGTCCACAAACAACTTCATAAGCATTTTCTATTCGTTGTATCAACTATTCCACGGTATTCACTTCTCCGTCATGATACACCAGGTTTTTCAAATGGCCTCAAAGGAAGAAATCTATTGGTAATAGTATATTGTGCGACAATTGAGAAAAGTCCTTTTCCCTACATTTTGCACACTATTCTTTGTCTACAACTGCTCAAATTTGAAGTTTACATGTAATGTGACTTATTTGTATTCATTTTATACTGTGGCACTTCGCAACATTGAATATTGAGACAAAAGAGTAGACGCCTTTCCTAGTTCCTCAAAGGATACCAAAAAGTACAGTTTCCGAAAAAGATTTCATTTTTGTATTTTTTCTACATTCCATACATATTTTGCATGCCAATTCATAGTTTTATCTTGAAATTTCCGACAACTAATCTAAGTTTTGCAGCTTACCCCATTATCTTTGGAATAGTATAATCCATCATTGTCACTACTATCAGTATATTTATTATAAATTGTTCGAGTAATATTTAATGGAAATAATTGTGTGATTTTTATCAATGCTGTGATGAAAACTACCTTAAGAATTTAAAAAAACTTCTGCTGAGAGTTGTGAAAAGCTGCCAACTGAGTTTGGGTCGATATTTGTTTCACCATTCGAACAAATCATTTATCGATTTCAAAAATAGTACTGAAGGTACTCTTCAACGGACTAGAAGGCATTTGCTAGCAATATTGATCTGTTTTTTATCTCATTGTTCAATTTGTTATATAAGACTGAGCCCATATAATAAGCATTTGATTTATACAATTCTTATCTATGGATATCAATCATATTGTAAATTATGCCCACATCCTGTTGGATATGTATGAGTAGCATTTTGATACACAAAGCCTCTCATATTTTGCTTCACAAATTTCAGTATCTCAAAAATGTATAAACAAGCCTGAGTAAGAATTTTATTGTTAACAAATGTGGATTTGCATGATGCTCTATAAGATAACCCAAACATATATCTTATTTTCCTTTTTTGTAGAACAAAAATTCTGTCAGATGTTGTAGAGTTACCACAGAAAAGAACGAATATGATACTCACTGCGCACTTTGACTGCATCTTGACGGGACCATTGTTTCAATCTTTTCAATGCGAACTAGTTAATTGCATACCTTTTACTTACTGCTGACACATATGATTTCCAATCTAGAGGTAAATCTAGGTAAATGCCTAAAAGTTTGAATGACGTTAATTTTGAATTGATTTTTCTTTATCTATTGGAGCGCACGATAGGAAATTTCTATAATGTTCGTGGAACATGGTGCGTTCCTAGGGAGGATAGGGAGAGGAGGTAGGTGTTGGAATTTTTTTGAACTTTTGGATGTGAGTTCTTGGGGGTACTTACATTGGCAAAGAGTTCCAAAGGTTCTCCGTTCTATATACGAACGAGTTTTTGTAGAGTGTTGTTCGGCATTTTCCAAGGTTAACGCCGAAAGGATGTGCTAACTAGACCTGTCGAGTCGTTTGACTGGTATTGCTACTAATGGAATTATAGCAGAGATTTTTGAGAATCATTTTTCGTGGAAGTATCTATAGAAAAGTGAAAGGTTGCCGACTTTTCTACGGTGTTCTAATGGAGTCAAAAAGTTGGTGAGTATGGCATCACCCTCCAGGCGAATGGCTCAGCTCTGGATGGAATCTAAGAGCATCAGCGTATGGTTGGGTGCTTAAACCCATACATGAGAACAGTATTCTAAAACTGGCCAGATCTGTGCTTTGTAAATGAGAAGCTGTTGAGGTGTAACGTAGTTTTCGCACGGAACAAGAATCCGAGATTCTGTGAAGCATCTTTTGCGATGGATCGCACATGATTTTTCCATGAGAGAGTATTGCTGATGGTGATACCGAGCATGGATGTAGTGGAAATGGTGGTACCAGACATTGTTATATCAGTGCCGCCTTCCTAGAGAAAATACAAGATTTACCAACGTACGCCATTCTCTAAGAATTTACAGGAAAGCTAGACAAACAAAATTGTACTGTGGACGGTAGTAGGGGAGCGGAAAATCAGAAATGTTCAATTTATAATATCTCCGTTATCATGCATCTTTTGTTGAGGCGATATTCGGTAGATCTGTCTATTTCAATGAATTCTACATCCTCTTCAAGAAAATGCCTCACCGTTGCGATCACCCTGTATAAGTAAGTAGCTTTTCTCATTGTTAACAAAACTGCATTGCGAGCTCATCTTCAGTATTCTTTACCTTTCAGAGCATATCAGTTCAAGTGTTGGTATACGAGGCGTACAGGAAGTACGGATCCCTGACGACGGGTCAAATCGAAAGGTTGAGGCTGAAGCACAGACTGAAAGTGGTGCAAGAGCTGGAGGATACGTGCGAGAGGAACGTGTTGAGGTGTGTCTCGGGCGATGGATTTTTCACCACCGAAGAATTACAGGTAAACGGCAATGTATTGTTATAGTACATATACAGTGCGGAGACTTTAACTGAAATAAATTCGTTAGTGAGGACGTGAATATTTTTTTAGCAATTCCCGTTATACGTCAACGATTTAATGAATTTACTTACCTTTTGCAACCAATTTCGACAATATATCCCTCCAGGGCTGGCTGGAACCACCCTCAACATGATTTTTTCAAATGTAACCATATGGTTTGTGACCCCTCATTGGACAGTTAGTGGAAATATGAATCCAGCGTACTAGTCAAATTTTAGTTTTCCATACTTGCATAAAATTGAAATGTAATTTAAATCAGAATGTGTGTTGATCTATCAATGGCAATCTTTTGCCACAACTGCTATCTACTATTGTATTCCAGTGTTCTTAACACGTTCGCTGCCGAGCTGAAATTTCAAAAAATGACTTCACGGGCCAAGGTAATTTTCACCAATGAGGTACGTATTCAATTTATACCCACACAAAAGTCCCCACTAAAACCCTCCAGGCCAAAACTTTCAGTTGCTCTTTATGCTGCCAGGCCGCAGAGATCATAAGCTAATGCATTTCTTATTGCCCGTGCATTAAAGAGAATACACCGCTATTCAGACAGAATGATAGTCCGTGTATCATTTAGGATACCCCCGGCCTGTGGAAAGCACTACCTGGTGTATCATTAATGATACACCAGGCAGCGAACGTGTTAAAGAGCCGCAAAAAGAAATTTAGTTTTTTGCCGTATTCACAGTTCGAAACGAAATTTTATTGCAAACTGGTGGAAATGCCCTATATTACTGTCAATGAAAGTCAAAATTTTGATGTTAATACGTTGAAAATATATTGAACTTCAAAATTTTATCTTGATTTTATGCGACCCTCAAACGTACTGCAAACTGAAATATGATCAGTACGCTGGATTCCTCTTTCAACCAGCTTTCCAATAAGGGGTCGCAAGCCACAGGGTCTCATTTGAACAAAACATGTTGGGGTCGATTCCAGCTACCCTTAAAGAGTTATATTCTCCATATTGCTCGCCAAATGTAGGTAAATACATTTAAACGTTGACGTGTCCCGCGAATTTTCATAAAAATCATTCACTCTCCCAGTAGCGAATTTATTCCAGTTAGAGTCCACCCAGTACAATATACAAAAATATACAATGAATTGACGAAAAATTTTGAGAAAATTCAATATTTGCCGTTTTGCTCATATTCAACTGGATTAACAAACCTGGGACCACTGAGAATTGCAGATAATAATGATAATATAATAATAATGTTTATTCAGTTATAATCATAACAATAATAATAACAGTGAAGCAATAGTAGAATAGTAAATAAATGAGTAATTAATGAAGTGATAATGAGTAAATCATATAAATAAACATAGGGACACCGCAAAGTCCAGAGACTGATCGCGGCGTGGATAGTTACTATACCTATAGTATAGATATTTATATCAAACACAAATACATAAATGCCATATTATTAGTAGGTAGGCAGTGCATGTATTCACTATATATATTTATAAAACGTAAATAAACAGAAATGCTCATTGAAGACCAGTAGGTTGTGCATGATCGCAGTATCTGCATATTTATCATTCTAAAGGAGAATATATATAAAGCTATATGACATAGATCATACTGGTTATGTTGCATATTAATTATTTAACATGGTATGATGAATGATTTAATGATGATGAGTATAAGAGAGTGTTGGGATGAAAATATTCTTTCTATTGTTCCATCATGTATAATTTTTCTCTCTATAGAATGCAAGAAATGTTTGACAATTTTCTTGAAAAAATTGAGAGTTAATATTAAAGACGTGGGTTTTGTAGATCTCCGGCCATATATAAATAGGAACGCTTACCCAAAGTTTTTCCTGCTAGGTGAGAATATGCAAATTGCTGTTTCCTATTACGTGTTCCATACTTATGTTCTATACTTTGCAAACACTGTTTGTTTTTATAAATATACATGATAATATTGTAAGCATATATATTTTGTCTTATATCCAGCAGTCTGGTTTCCTGAAAAAGAGCATGGGAAGAGTATTTGATGTCTTTGCTCAATATGATCTTGATGATACGTTTCTGTAGCACTGATAGTTTTTTTAAAATACACATTTGCTGCACTTCCCCAGGCCAGTATCGCGTACTGTAGACGCGATTCAACTAATCCATAATACAGTGTTTTGAGATGAGCCTCTAAGTAGACTCCTCAGATATTTAAATTTATATAAAAGCACTCTCAATGTTTTTGTCATATTATTTATGTGGACATTCCATCGGACATGCGAGTCTATTGTTAATCCCAGATATTAATGATACTAATTATATTCCCGAATGCCATTCGATAAAATATTTAGAAGTGATGGTGGACCGCCACCTACGTTAGAATCTACAAATAGAAGCGGTGACAAATAAATTAAGAGGGTTATTATATAGATTCAAATACCTATGACATTCCTTGGAAATAAGACACTTGAAGACACTGTTCTATTCCTTAGTCCAATCACAAATATCGTATGGCATAGTGGGCTGGGGTGGAGCAACGGATAGTTATTTAAAAAATCTCGAATGTCATACAGAAATGGTTCCTCAAAATAATTTCTAAAAAACCACGTTATTATTCAAGGCGAAGCCAGAGCAGTCGTGAGTAGATTGTCAAGGGGTCAAGCACCCATAAGCAACGCGTACGGTAAAGACTATAGGAAGCTATATGAAGAGTTGGAAAGCGACCCCAAAATATAGCTTTGAAAAAACTTTTAAAATAAGTATAACGGACAGAGAGGCATGGAAGGAAGGACCTCCTATCAATGCAGACATTGCTGTCTATGCGGACGGCTCCAAAACTGATGAAGGATCAGGAGCTGGTATTTATGGGGCCAAGCCAAAGACAAGAATCTCACTGAGCTTAGGCAAATACGCGACGGTGTTTCAGGCAGAAATTATTGCAATACATCATTGCGTGAAAGAATTGATAAGGCAAGAGTTTAAAGGCAAAACCATTGCAATCTATTCAGATAGCCAGGCGGCAATCAAAGCAGTCAACTCTATGCAAGTTAACTGAAAACTAGTATGGGACTGCTTAGAAACCCTAAATGCACTGGGCAATCAGAACAGATTGACTCTAGCATGGGTACCAGCACATACAGGGTACGAGGGCAATGAAGAGGCAGACTCACTTGCCCGAGCAGGAGCAAACAAAGCTCTTAATGGCCCAGAACCCTTCTGTGGTATTGCGAAAGCTATACAAAAGACTAGTATCCAATCATGGATGCAAACCAAATCTCAAGAATGGTGGAACAACTCGCCAGGAATGAGACAGGCTAAAGAGTTTATTAAAAAACCATCGCCAACATTCACAGAATATCTACTAAGCCAGAAACGAAGTTCAACTAGAATACTAGTGGGACTTCTCACAGGGCATTGTAGGCTCAACAAACACATGAGTACGATAGGTCTGACTGAGGAAATGCTGTCAAGAAGAGGAAGAAACAGCAGTACACATACTTTGCCACTGTGAGGGCTTGTCAAGACTAAGGTACCTCACGCTGGGTGAGGAAAAGCCAGGAGCCCAGAGATACACAGGAGATCTGAAAGCTAGCCTATGGAGTCTCATAGAGAAGGCGGGGCTAGCCGAAGAACTCTAATCGATTTTGAGGGCAGACACAATAGATCTGAAAAGGTCGCAGTGTGGAGGCAGATAGCCCGAAGGCCCCATTCCAAATCTAATCTAATCTAAGTGAAGATTTGTTCAATGAAGCCCGTGTTCATGACTTGCGACAACTTTAATGTATCAGTATGATGAGTTACATCAACAAAGGTAACATTGAAATAGAACCTATCTGTCATGTTCATGACACTAGAAACAGGAACAATAAAATAATTTTACCTCGATCTGAAAAACTGTAGGACAACGAAACGCTAATTAGACAAATTCAATATCCCAAAACTTTCAATATGTCTTTTAAAAAATGGGTTCTCAATACTTCAAGATCCTTATTTGAAGCTTTTGTTATTCAAAAATAATAATATTAGTCGAAAAATCGAATAAAATCAAAAAGTCTTGCCAATTATGTGAAAATCTTCATTCTTGCATACCTCATCGAATAAAAAAATTATCACAAATAAACATTATTATTATTATCAGTAGAAGAGCCGGATTCAAATTTCGACAGTCATCTGATAACGAAATGTTATATGTTCCAACGGCATGTAAAAACATTGTTTTTTATTGAACGGCACCTGTGCCAATCACTATACTGAGCAAACTGATTGTAAAATTGCACTTTCCTGTGCGGAAATTTGCACCTGATTTCGCTATTTGATAACGAGATGAGAATTATGCCATGTGATACCAATTGAGTAGATCTCAAAAACTTACCTATGCCACCCCTTAATCTCAGCCAAATCCATGGCACAGCGATGTATTTGCTGCCGTTATGTCGGACATACTTTCGTCATGTGATAACGAGTTGAAACAAAAAGCAAATGAAAGAATATAATTTATCCAAAATTAACGTTGTATCCATTGTTGACCGCAATCTGTTTTATGATATTGAGTTCTTTATTGAAATTTACTTCCGAAATGAAGGTATTCAATAAGTTTATCCTACCATCAAGAATAATAATCAAAATTATAGAACTTGACGTATTTCGGATCATCAACTGAAAAATTAGCTTCATTTCTACAGAAACAGGACTTGAAAGTAGCATATAGAACAAATAACACATTGGGAAGGTTTATCAAAAACAATAAAGACAAAACTTTTAAATTCGAAAAATAAGGAGTATACAAACTCAATTGTGGATCTTGTCCTAAGGTATACAGTCTGTCCATTTAGTGCGTAATTCTTCGACATCTCGAAAGCCATAACTCATAGATAAAAATTTTGAAGGAAAAACTTTTTCAGTTACGCAAGTTGCTCATTTCAAAAATATTTTTCAACATTACTGGGTGTTTTATAAAAGCGGGACGACTCGGTGACGAG